ATCATATATATATATATATGATACATATATATATATATATATATATGATACATATATATATATATATATATGTATCATATATATATATGTATCATATATATATATATATATATGATACATATATCATCAAGAGTTTATTTCCGGATCATTTTCAGTAAATGTGAGCTATTACGTTCTCCACCAAAACTCTGCTGTTTGAACATTTATGAAGTCCAATACCATAACGACTCTTAAATGAACGTTATGAAAATTACTAGAAAACCATCCAAGTAAATAAATACATTATTATTATAAGACACTGATCTCAGAGGTGCGTGTTTTTATTCTCTTCTTCTTCTTCTACTAAACTTCTCCACTCAGCGCCAGAAATATAAATAAATAAAGTAGAATAAAATGAAACAATTATAATATAAACAAATAGTATGAATACATATATTTTTTAAATCTAATATAAAAAAATATATAATAAAAAGATGGAAAAATAAAGATTTTCTGAAAATACACTGAATTGCTGCTATATATATCCTACACATACTAAATGTGCAACATTTTTAGGAAACACTTTTCATGATGTCATCACTGTGCGATATAAAAATGCGGATTAATTAGTAATAAAAGTGCTAAAAGTGCTTTAACACACAGCAACACGTTGATGTCTGAAGGTTAAGAGCTTCGAGGTTTGTAGTTTCCTTCAGCTCGCGACAACATGTCTGTTTACTTCTTCTCGATCCGGACTGAGGTGTTTCCATTCACCTCCATCTCTTTAAAAAACTAGTTATTACCGATCTATTAAAGCTTTTACCTCCGCGCGTAAAACGGTTCAGTGACGGTGTCGCGCTCACATTAAACCTTCTCATTACACCTCCGGTGTCACAGCGGCCTCACGTTGTCATAATGCGGGTCGCAGTGATTTACAACCTGGAGCTGTGTGTGTGTGTGTGTGTGTGTGTGTGTGTTTCGTCTGTACAGTTTTATTTATACTCGGTCATCTGCGCGTGCCAACAGGATAAAAAAGCAGGACCAAAGGGAAATAAACGGAGCGAGGATACACCGGTCTGATCCCAGGTAAACACCGGGATGGAAAAAACCTCAGCACGGGCCTCCTCCATAGCGCGCGCGTGTGTGTGTCTGCAGGCGTATTAAAGGAGTAGAGAGAAGTACATTTTCAATTACAGAAAGTGATGCAGAGAACAGAATGAGCTTTAAAATAAGGACTGAGAGGGGCAGACTGTCAGACCTGCTGCAGTAACATGAGAGGTTTCTAAAGGGACTCCGGTGCTCAGAGACACAGCTTTAGTCCACAGGGACCAACAGAACCAACACTACATGAAAGTTCCTCGTAGTAGCTTTAAGGCTGCAGTTTCTTCTACACAAAATATAAATCAACTAATAAATCACGATATCATTTAAATCAAACAAGCCAGCAGTATATAAAGTAGTTAAAATCAGCTCCATCTTTACCAGCTGTAACAAAGTGATGAACACATTTATGGATCAATAATGATAATCCAATATAATAAAATACAACATTCTGCACATTGAGAACTTTTACTTTTGGTACTTTAAGTATATTTTGATGCAGATACTTTTATCCTTTTACTTGGATAACATTTGCAGGACCTTCACATGTAACAGAGTATTTCTACTCTGTGATATTACTTTTAGACGCATCGATCATCTTCAATGATCTCATGTCACTTGTTACAACACAGAACCTCTTCAGTCTTCTCTCTCATAGTTTCATTGCTCATATACACAACACACACGGTGCAGTAGGTAAAGACACTGAAGTATTTTCATTCTTCAGCGTTATTACTGCATCCGTCTGAGACCAAATATTATGTTCTGTATATCTGTAGGAGTTTTATTAATTTGTATTCTCAAAGATCTCACTTGATTTGTCTTTCTAAAGCACTTGTGATGAACAGAAATCTGGTTTAAGTGGTCACACTCACAGGAAAACATGAAAAAAATCTATTTTTTTTTTTTGTTTTTCGTTTTCAGCTCAACACCTGTGACCTGAATCCAACTTTGAACATTGTACGGTTAAATAAGTAAAAGTTACATCCTTGAATATTCTGGAGATGAAAACAGTCGTTGGAATAAAATCTGAAATCAGCAGCATTAAAGAACTGAGGACATCCTGTGGCATAGAAAGCGTCCGCTCAGCAGAATCCCACTCTCTGTCGGACCTCTCTGAGGACCGGAGCCGCCAGCTCTCGAGCCCTGCGAGTCCCCCGAGCCAGCACCTCCTCCAGGTGAGCCCGGTCCTCCCTCAGCCTCCGGATCTCCTCCCTGATGGGCGTCAACCTCTGGATCACGACCTCGGTGACCAGCGTCTTATAGGCTGCCGTGTCCATCCCTCGGGCCCGGAGCACCGCCTCCTCCACGCCGATCGCCTCCATGGCGGCGTGGATGGTCACCAGGTTGGACACGCCGGGCCGCGTCTCCGGGTCGAAGGTGACCTCGGAGGTGAAGTCGGTGACGGCGCGGCGGACCTTGAGGCCGATGTCGTCGGGGGAGTCGGTGATGGTGATCGTTGCCATCGCTTGGGGGTCGGATTTGGACATTTTGGCGGAAGGGTCGCGGAGGGACTTGACCTTTCGTGTAGAGCCTGAGGGAGGAGATCAGACCGAGGAAATGATTAATGTGGTGAGAGAAAGAATATTAAAAACACAACTAATATGGTCACTTCCTGTTTATCGGTTGCAAAAAAAACAACATGGCGACGACCGTAATTCAAGATGGCGACGGTGAAATTACCGAACTCGAGGCTTCAAAACGGCCACAAACCAACGGGAGACGTCACGATGACTACGTCCACTTCTTATAAACAGTCTATGTAATGAACAATTAAATGAATCGTTCATTACTCAGACACTAAAACACGGGTTAAAAAACACCAACGGGACCCTTTAAGACAAAGTACACGAGGAACATTCAGGGTTTGAATCTAGTTCATCGTCAGCCGGAGAGAAACGATGAAACGAGAGTCTGTGCAGGAAAGAATGAAGAATTATAGTTTCATTACAGCTGCCTGGTGTGTGTGTGTGTGTGTGTGTGTGTGTGAAGCAGACGTATCTCAGTGTGAAGTGATGAGCAGACTGCAGGAGCCGGGATTCCCTTTCACCCCCCGCCCCCTCATCCTTCCGCCATTTCGCAAAAGCTTGGACTCTTTTTCCCCAAACTACAGTCCACACCCGTCCCTCGTGCCACATCCTGTTTATCACCCGAGAGACGTCTTTATTTCAGGCAACTTAAAGAAAGAAGAGTCTTTGGCTCCTAAGAGAAGGAGGTGACTTTGCCAGAGACGAGAGATGAAGATGAGACCCAGTTTGAGGCAGAAAGTGCACACATGAACCCCCTGAAGTCATCAGATCCATTATCACTCTATTACTCTGATCCAAGAGGAGGGACATGTTTCTCTAATCAAAGCTGCACTGCACACATGACTGACTTCACTTTGTGCTTTTATGAATGTGATAATCAGGGACGATGAAGCAGAGAGAAGGGGGGGGGTCTCTGAACATGTTCGCCACGTGTGAGCACCAACTGGAAATCACAGAGCTAGCATTTCAAAATAAAACTAGACTTATGTGGCAACCTCAAACCACAGATGCTGTTCAGACATATAGAAGCAGGAAGCTACACTGAATATATAGATATTGGTTAATGCAGAAATGTTACTTTCATGGTTAACTGCAGGATAATAACCATTCAGCTGGATTTATCTTAAATAAGGTGCTGGCGGTATCAGAAGGCTCAGACTGGTATTCACCCGTTTCGTGGTGAAAACCTGCTTCTCACAGTCAGTAACAGATCGGCAACAAGCTGCAGCTCGTGCGTCTCTACAGCGGGACGAGAAAGAAAAGAAACCGTCGACCTGGAGCAAGAGGAGCTCAGACATGAAACGCCAGGGCGCTTATCCTCACAACGGCAAAACCAAAGAAGATGAAGACATCACCAAGAAAAGGAGATAATCCCATGAAGCTAAAAATAATGAATGAGATCAATAAACATGACAGTAACCTTGGTTCTAATGCATATCATCCGCTTTAAAATATCATAAAAGTTTGTTTGGTTTTAACTCGAGCAAAGACTAAGTGATCGACTTCTTCTAGTTTCCACATTCAGACACGTTTTATATGAAAACTGAAGCAGTTTGTTCACTTGTGTTATCGGATCAGTTACGAACAAAAAGTCTTTAAAAAAAGAGATTTAATTCACAAATCACAGTCACACTCATGTTAATGTGCACATCTCACAGATTAGAGCTTCAGTCCGGAGAAATAAAATAATAATAAAATGACTCGGTTATTAAAAAGCTGCTGAAACTGACTCAGTGAGACGATTCACCGTCTGCTGAACACGCACATACTGTAAAAACAAACATGGAAAGAGACTGAACACTCTAACCGATCACAGATCTGCTTTAATATCTTAAAACCTAGTGTGTGTGTGTGTGTGTGTGTGTGTGTGTGTGTGTGTCCGTCCGTCCGTCCGTCCTTACTGAGCAGGGCGGCGGGTTCAGGGAACAGGTCTCCGTAGCGGTGGTTGAAGATGCGAGCCAGATCCTGAGCCAGCTCCAAATGCTGGACCTGGTCCTCTCCGACGGGGACATGAGTGGACCTGAAGAGACGAAAAACCCAGAAGGACCAACGTGAGCCTCGTCAGCGCGGTGCGTTCAAAGACACAGCGAGACGCAGCAGTGGAGACGCTGGGGAGTCAAAGCTGGAGCTCTCATCCGGTCGGATTTGCAACCGTCAACCGCGAAGTGATTTATGAATTTCATCTTTAATAAAACACAGAACCTTTCTCTGCTGCGCAGGAAATACGATTCTTTCTGTTTGATGAAGTAGACACGCTGGATGAGATTAAGTCATCTTAATGTTTCTCTGATACGTCAGAAACCCAAATAAACCAGCTTTAGTTACTGTATTTTAGATATTTTAACGAGTATTACAGGTCTGACTCACACAAACCCCATACAAACATGTTGGGGAGGAGATGGTTTTGGTTTTATTTGTACAGGTTTTAAAGAATCGGTGTTTCTGCCTCCCGATACGATATAATATAATATAATCGTCTCTTTTCACATATCTACTGGAGTTGATATGATTCTGAAGGAAGCGTTCGTCACACATGATGTGTTTGAGGACCCTCGGAAAGATGACAATCTGATGATTATGAGACTTTCTACAGCTCGTGGCTGTGATAAACGATGTTGTTTTGCCGATTGTTTAAAGAAAACATGCTTTTCTGTCCCGCTGCCGGGTTTTATTTGAGGGAATGTTGCTGCATGAAGCCAAATGATTCTCAATCTTGCATTAGAAGATGCAAAAGCAAAATGTTTCTGAACAGAAACACACACACACACGAACACACACACACTCACTTGTAGAGGAGAATGTCAGCGGCCTGGAGGACCGGATATGTGTAGAGACCAACACTGCCTTCATTCTTTAATTTGCTCTTCATCTGAGGAAAACGCAGAGCAAAGGAAGAGACGTTGAGATAAAAACTAAAAACAAGCAAAGACAGAAGAGGAAAGGATTCATTCATTTCCTCCAGAAAGAGACTTTTTCACTTTTACCATCGATTCTCAGAAAACCGGCGTACAGACGAGTTCATGTGACATTTGCCACCAGATGAAACAGTGATTCTTATAATCACATTTAAATATGTTCACTAATCAAGTCAATGAACTCGCATTGCTGCAACACAGAAATATAGAAGAAGGATTATATGAATAAGAAAATAAAGTGTTGCTTCTGAATCACAGATTCATGAGACACTTCACTTTTTACCAAGAGCTACAGAAATACTTTTCTGCTTCTGCACCTCCTCACTGATTATTTAAGGTGTCAGTGAACGCTGCATGAACTCTGGAGAGTCTCACCTTCCACTGCGGCAGGTGTCGGAGGCGTGGCATGCTGGTCAGACAGCCGAGGATCCAGGAGAGCTCGGCGTGCTCGGGTACCTGCAGAGTCCACAGAGAGGGGAACACAGACACACACATTAACATCACGTCCCAGATGATAACACGTGTTTCACTGGGTCACATGTCGAGGTCCGGTCCTGGTTCAGTTCTCTTTGGATCGAGAGTTGTGACAGAAATAAACTTGGTTTTCATATATTGTACATGTGATATTCTGAGTTATTTATGAGTGTTTGAGTTAAAAGGTACAGACGGCAGAAGACTGGCTGCTACAGTTTATGTTGGTTGTTGTAATTCTGTTCTCTTAGGGGGCATGATGAAGAAGAAGAGGAAGAATAACAGAAAGAGAATAAGGAGGAGAGGAAGGAGGAGGATAAAAAGAAGAAAGAGGAGAAGGAAGAGGATGAGGAAAGAAGAGGAAGGAGAAGAACAAGAAGGGTTCTGGTACCATGAAAGTCTCATGCAGTTCCGACCTTGTTTGGATCGTTCATATTTGACTCTCTAATATAACGCTTCACTAACGCATCATATGGACTTCAGATCAGAGTTATTAACTCAAAATCATCAACAAATCTTTTGACAATTAGGAACTCAAAGTTGGACAAAATCAGATCTGTGTACAGGAAGTGAAATCTTTACTACAACATAAGACAAACATGAAACACACCACTGCTGCATGCTGGGTAAGAACAAGGGATAACCATCGAGTGGTTATATTACATTATTTACACTATGACTGTTGGTCTGTGTGAGGCGAGGAATAATATGTACAATGGACAAATATTATGTGCATATTACATACATATGTATTTTGTGTGTTGTACTATATTTAGTTGATGAAGCATCAGAGAGAGAAGAAGAAGACAACATCACAAACAAACATGGTGAGAGGTCTCAGAGACCAGAGGAGAGCGACGCTGTAGCGCCTCCGAGTGGCAGAGAGGAGTACTGCGTCTCCTCCAGCCTTCTGTCAGACAGGTGCAGCCGCTCACACCTGTGTTCACCGGTTAGTTTACAATAAAAACGAGTCTCTATTATGCATCTCCTGATATTAACAGAGCTGATTCAGAACAAACACTTACTTTGCGAAAATGTTGATTTAAATTCTTAATTTTGTACTTTTGTACTTAAGAGAGAATAAGGATGAATATGGATGAGAAATTGTTTTCAAAGACGTTTTGTTAAATATTATTGACTCTCGCGACAACAACATTTCTCTTTTTCCATCTTTGTGTGAATTGTTGGGGCATAAATGACATCGACATGAAACAATCCTGATTTTGAATCAGCCGTGGTCACATTGGGGTTTATTAGTTAAAGTCACTGATGCTTATTATTTGGAGGAAAGTCAGATATCAGCTACAAAAACAGATCCATCCCTTGAGCTCAGACATCATCATCTGCTTTCACCGTTTTTGCTTCCAGGATGGTGATAGATTCCTTTTTCTTGACTTTTAGTTTAATTAATAAAACAGTGTTGCATGTGGTCGGATAAATCAACATGTTGTGAAGCAATGAAAAGGTGAATGTTAATGTACTGTAGCTTGTGCAGGAGGCAGCGGTACATTAACTCCAACATATCCACTTTTATGGAGGCTGAAAAATAAAAAAATCATGTGAGAGAGAGAGAGAGAGAGAGAGAGAGAGAGAGAGAGAGAGAGAGAG